CTCCGCAAGAAGAGCTTCGACAGCTCCTCCGCCGGACGTGGGATCGACGGAAGGTACCGCGCGTGCGATAAGTAGTATAAAACGCAGGCCACATGGCAGCAGCAGCCGGCCGTGCGGTCCCCATTAGGACAATCGCACCAATATCGGCGAATTCCCTGAACTTCATTTCTTGAAGCCTCATAGTCGATATAGACGCGATACGTCTTCCGATTTCTGTGGCGGGATCTGACTTCCAGGCGAATGATATTCGGCGTCGTTCTGACGTACTTGAGTGGAACGTTATCCTCCCCGTCCATGATTTCAGCCAAGTAGGAGATGGCGAGCTTCAGTTGGTACTCACCTGTGATGAGGAGCACGAACTGGTTTCTGGTCAACCTCGGGAAATCGGTCAGATCGGTCGCTCGGATTTGTGCGTGGCTGGTTGATCTTTGATTCCATCTCTCCTGCTCGACAAGTTCTCCGAGGGTATTCGGAACGTGCATCCGACTCTCCATGTGTTCGAGAATTTCGAGAGTTGACTCGCCATCGGTCGAGTATCGCTTGCCGAATCTGTTGTGCAGATAGCCTACGACTCGGCAGAGCTCTCGGACGTTTGGGAGAAGCCAGTGTATGGTGCAGCAAGCGATATTTCTGGCCAAACACTCCGTGAACCGCTCCGACCACCCATCGCAGCTTGGTAACTCGTCGAGAAAAGTTTGCTTCCTCCACGGGAACTTGTTTTCTTTTGCCCTTCATGGCGGGCATGACGACTTGGAAGCCTAAACTCTTGATGAAATCCACCGCATCGCGGTCCATGATACCATGACTCCACTGCGTAGTGGAGTCCCCATTACACAGAAGTTCCTTATCGTGCTAGGGTCCGATGCTGGGGCGAATCGCTGAGCCCGAGTCCGCGGTCTACGCATGCTCATGTGATTACATCATGGCGGTGATTCATCGGCTAAACAGCGACCCTCATCGGCTCCGCATGACCAACCGGTCTCTAGATGGAAACCTCCGCAAGCTGAATGGTGGTAGAATCCAATTGGGCTTATTCAATGAAAAAAGGGTTTTCGGGTACTTAAACATACTTACAGTTGAGCAGCCACTCTGAAACTTCGCACATAGTCTTATTTCGCGGAAAACAGTCCGCAAAAGAAAAATCAGCGAAATCGTCGATATAGTTTTCGATCTGTGACAATCGTCATATATCTCCGTCCTAAGTGACCCTTTTCCCGATCTGACTAGCGCAAATGAAAGCTCTCAGACTGAGCTTTCCAACGCGCCTCCGATCGTCGCTCTACGACCAACCGTTCCGGAGATACAGCTCTCTGAAGCTGGTCGCCGAAGCGATTTTCAAAAAGGGGCACATTTCCTGCGAGACCCTTTGCGGATCCGCCGCTGCCTATCGTCTATGGAAGAATGCTTTTCCAGTCTCCGGGGATCGAAGGAAAACTCGTTTGTTCGGTCTAACAGAGGGATTCATTCCAATGATCTCATTCAATTTCCAAGCACTCATCCGGAATGGTCGGCTTCGAGCATGTGGGGAAATGGTGGCGGGTCACAGAAAAAGACCTAGCGGGCCACGGAATTGGCACCCCTGACTCTAGCTGCAGCCAGACCAGGTTTGCGGCGCGATGGTTTCGATATTGTTGAACCGTTGAGGTTTGATCTCTCGAGAGCGCTTGGAGTAAAACGAGAAGGAGAGATGATTGATTGATTGATTTTGTAGATCACTGAGACCGGGGGATTTTTCGCGGGAGTGGTAGCGACTCTTCTCTCGTTCAGAGACACAATCTCGAAGACTGCTCTCTCTATTCACGTTTGGAAGTGCGGTCCCCATTTTTCTGACATCAGGTAATCTGATGAAAGAAGACCTATTCGACCATCTCAAGCTTGAATTGTCTACTGGATGCTTCATCAGTAGGCGAAGACGACTTGCTAGCACTCATTGCCTTCCCACGAGCCGCGGAAGCCTCGTTATATTATTATCAAACCGGAATCTGATGTGCCCCGTGAGCACGGCGCCGCGCCGCACCGGCACCTCGGAGCGGAACTTGTGCGATGCTCTTTCCGGATCTTGTCTCATTTGCAACTTGTTGCTAATCGGGATCTTCACAATCCGTCTGTTCAAGATATATCATGGAACTTCCGATCATCGAGCACCAACTGAGTTCTCCAATCGAAAGCGCCGTGTTCCGCTCTACATCAAATGAGGACCTTCTCCATGAAATCAGAAACTCATA